AAATAAATAAATTAGAAAAGAGTAGCTGATTGGACTAAATTCCTTTATTATAATTATATTTTAGTATTAAATCCTTGCTACATTAGTTCATTTCGTTCTAGATTAATCAGCACAGAGGCGACTGGTTTTGCTGCTTGTCACTTTTAAACAGAACCTGCTGATGTAAAAGGGAACAACTTACAGACCCGTCTGCACTGAGCTCACAGCAGGGAGCATTTAAATCAGCAGCTAAATTAAGAAAGCAGCTTCTTATTTGCAGTCCTGGCCAGTCAGAGCTGCCCCTGGATGAACCTCCTGGTGGTGGCTGCAGGGCTGGATGGAGGCGATGGAGGGGTTTGGGGGGATGTTGATGATGATGGCAGGATATTAATAGCTGCAACGCTTTCTGATGATTCATCCTCCACATAAGTCCATTTAATGAAGAACTGGATGGGCCAGAAGTGAGTGAGTGAGGACGGAGAGAGGAGGTTTAGAGGTTCTGTTAATGTTCTGTTCATCACCCTGAACGGCCTCCACGGTGCCACCAAGGAGGGTTGGTGTTTATTGGCCGCCCCACATGAATGGATAAAGTTCTGTCATTGAAGTTCCGAAATCCAAGTTTCAGTGAATGCATCTGTGGAGTGCAGCATCCCAAAGTGTCTGTGATGTGACTCAGTTTTGTTCCACGTCTCTCTTTTTTGGGGGGATGTTGCTGTTGTGAGATGCTCGTTCTCTTTTTTATTGGTGTCCATCTTGTGCTGAATCCTCCAGGGTCCGGTCCTGCAATCCTCTCTTGATTATTAACGAAACATGTTCACCTCCATCCTGGAGAACGTTCCTCTCCTGCTCAAAGGATTTGGTTTTTTTGACAAACTAAAGTCTCTAAAAGATTCAGTTGTTTTTTTAGCTCCATTATTCTCCTCCATACCTGCATGGTCTCCTCTACTATTGACAGCTCCACCGTTATGGAGACTCCAAAACAGTTTTTAAAACATGTTTGATCATTTTCATGGTGGGCTGGTGGGCTGAGAGGAAGGTCCACGTTCCTCTCGCTCAGGCTGTTAATTCAGACTATAGGCTTCATTGTTGTACTGATTTGTCTGGGCTTTTGTCATCACTCAGGATTCCACTCAGGTGTGTGACCTGAACTGTATTTACTCTAAAACAAAGAGACTGAATGTTGCACCTTGTGTCCCAGAGGAACAGACCCACTGATCAAAAACTCGGTGCTTCAGACAACGTCACGGTTGCAACAGAAATCGTTGTGGTGAGATTCAGAACATCACTTCATAGCTGAGCTGAGTTTGCAGCACATCTGGTCACATTTCTCTCTCAGTCAGCTTCCATTAATTACAAAACGATGGATCTGGAGCGCATTAATGTTTGAGACTCATCCCTGTTAGTGAGATGAACCAGGACTCGTTTCAACGTGTTGAGCTTCAGACATGTTGACGGCTGTATTTTTGCCTACAGCCTCGATGCTGAGCTCAGAGAACTGCTTGCTGGTACCAGCTTCATGTTTTTTTACTGGACCGACAAAAGGACTGATAATAATAGAATGTTTTAATCCAACACTCAGCTGAAAGCAAATAACTTCCTGAAAAGCAGAATCCTTCCTTTAAGTTTAGATTTTTACAGCAAACCGTGATGGTTGAGTCCTTCGTCTTAGTTTTTCTATTAAATTTAAATCAGCGGTGTAAAGCACAATAGATCAGTGTTTTTGGACGGGGGGGTAACACAAAGTAAGGAGAGGTGAAGGTAGTTCAGAGGGCATCAGGTTCTGCATGCAAGGATCAACAAAAGCTGCAGGGTCTTACTCCATCCATTCGCAGAGAAGGACCGAGATGGAGCTGAAGGAAGGAAGCAAAGTTAAAATGAGACGATGGTGGTTTAAATAATCACGCATTGATTTCAAGCCTCCACATTCACACCAGTGCAGACACACTCTGTCCTGTGTTCTTCCCCATGGATGGTGCATGAAAAAAGCAGCTGAACTTTCATGTTTGCACATTTATTGCAGTGCAGCAGGTGACTGCTGTGAACGAGGCTGGATTCAGGGATTCTAAATACATGAATGATTCAAACAGAGGTGCCTCACAGCTGTATTTAGAGGATGTGTCCTGCAAGATGATTCCAGGTGAAGCTCCTGCACTGACCAAAAACAGTTTCCAAGCCACTGACTTGTTCTTATGGACCGAATGGATCAAACTGAGAAAACTAAGGTGCTACTTAACATTATTGATGCTCAGAAAAAAATCTAAACTATTCTTTTCCAAATTCTACCTTTGACAACACATTTATGGCTTCATGGGCCTGGACCTCCCCGCCCCCGCCGGGCCGCTGTGGATTCTGGGAGACGTGTTCATCGGCCAGTACGACACCGTGTTCGACTGCGACAGCAACAGGGTGGGCTTCGCTAAATCCAAATGAGCACATCTTCCACCGGAGCATCATGTTCAAGCTTCACAATCTGAGCTGCACACGTTTTCTGTTGCTTTGCAATCAAACCGTATTCAGCAACAGACTCTGTGTGGAGCCTGAATGCACTGATCTGAAGAATTTCTACCGTTTCTGACAGCGTGAGAGAAACAGATTGTGGACGTGGTGGTTGTGTGAGTTGATATGATATATGTGGTGGTTCTGCCCTTTTCAAACATCCAAGTGTTCTTTTGATAATAGTGTCGTAACAGCGTCATTGGCTCTGACCTCTGACCTGTCAGCCAATGACACGCCGTCTACCTGTTGAACTGCCAGTTAGCTCCTGTTTACAAGACTGACAACATTTCTCTGAATCAACCAATTTTTGACTGCAGCTGTAAACTCACACAGGCTAACTCAACCTCTACATCTCCACTAAGAACTCACAAAGCAAGAAAACTGCCTCCAAACTCACAGGTGAGGGCAGTTCTGGTGTTAGACCGAAGCCATCCATTTTTAGACGGTGGCATGACGACGGCTAACTAGCTAGGTCTTCCCTATTTGGTATTTTTAACCTCAGTTTTTAAAAAACTTCTGTTTGGTCCATTATTTTAGCCTGGCAGAAGGTTGGATATCACCACAGCTATCGTCTCACAATAGGCAGAGAGAAGGTGATGGCCAAGAAACACCAAAGCTACCATTAAGCATGGTGGGGGCAGTATTATGTTCTGGGGCTTTGTTGGTGCCAGTTGAACTGGTGCTTTATACAATGTAAAATGAATAATGGAAGAAGGAGGATTAACTCCACATTCTTCGTGAAACCCTAAAATGTCTCAGACAGGGGTGGGTCTTGGACACAGTTGGGAGTTCCAACAGGACAATGACCCCAAACACACATCAAAAGTGGGAAAAAATGGCTAAATCCAACTAGAATTAAAGTTTTAGACTGGCCTCCCCAAAGTCCTGACTTAAACCCCGTCGACAACTTCTGGACTGTGATGAAGAAACAAGTCTGTGTCAGAAAGACAACACATTTAATTTAACTCTCCGTCATGAGGACTGGTCACAGATAAAACCAGAAGCCTGCAAGAAACTTGTGGACTGGTTCTGAAAGCACCTAGTTGGGGTGAAAATAGCCAAGAGATGTGTTTCAATGATTCTGTTTTAGAAAATCCACAGTTAGAGGAGTCATTGGAAACTCATGAGTGCCACGATACACATGGTCTTCACGAGTGTATGTAGACTTTAGTTCACAGCTGTACATACAGACACATACAGAAGCTGGAGGGCCTGATGTATGCAGCTGACACACAATGAAAGACCTTCCTGGACTCGACGTCTCCACTCGCATTCGGCCTTTTCCGTTGAGAAAGCATCGCTCCTGGGGATGTTTCCTCCAACATGCTCCCACCTTTAGTTTTACCCACTGACTTCTCTTCTTCTGCTACCCCTCTGCTTGAGCGCAGTCCTTCATCCCCTGACGTCAATATGCGACTGTTTTTGGGTCTGTAATGTTACCAAACATCATGTGTCTTATGAGGGCGAGTGCAAAATATCTGACCTGACACCAGGGAGTCAGCTGAAGGCAAACTGCACCCACTCACACAGACTGAACAGGAATTGATTACTGGGCTGTTTTTAAAGAAAGAAACAAACCCTGCAGCCACAGGCGGACTCACGCTGATGTCGGTAAAACTGGAAATAATAATTAGTGGTATATCCAGGGGTTAATCTGAGAATTATTATAAAACCATTTGTGGAGGTCCTGTGATTGATAGTGTTTGACAGACGGTACATAAAGTATAACACGGTCTAATCCGGGCTGACAACCCTCTGCTCTGAATGTGGCTGTTTGCAAAAACCACCAGCTGAGGACAATAAACCTCCATTAAATATAGAAACAGTGGTGATAGGCTGCACAGAGGGGAGAATGTGAATGTATATAAATCAATATGCATGAACCAGCTGAGCTCGTTAATAATACAATATGATATGATTACATTAAATGGGGATTTATTTAGATTCTACAGTATTAACACATAAATTGTGAAAACATATCAACTGCTGAAGATGGCCGCCGTGAGGAGGAGCGTCCTCCAGCTACTGAATCAGATTTCTGCTTTACATTCAG